AGCCATGATCATTGGCTGATACCTCCCCAGATGTCCGACCAGTAGCATAACACCAACAAACCGCTCCGGTATTGGAAATCCAATCTCGTCCAACTGCTGACACGTCGAAATCATCCTGTTGGGTGTTGGCATACTCGTCCATAGTTCCGCACGATTCCAGGTCGGTCCTCATCAGTTTGTAAAGCAAACCAACTTCCCGCGTCAAGCCTGTTTCCTCGAACGCTTTGGTGAGCTTCATCCAAGCCTCCCGAGCAGTAGTTGCGTCACGAGTATGGTAGTAATTCGCCGGTTCCAAGAAAAGGATAATCTTTCCTTTTGCCTTTCTGTCGTTAACAGGATCAACGGGTCTCTTGGACTCGATTGCTTCCCATAAGTCTTCGACTTCAATATTCTCTGCCGAGCAACCGCTCGATCCCGAGATTCGTACTATTCGCCATTTGAACCCGATTTTTCTGAACCTATAACCTCTTGTAGAAAGCAGTGATAAACACGTCTGGTTTAGGTGAACGAACAATAACGAATGAGTTTATTTTTCAAGAATTGCGACTTGTCGAAATATACGAACCATTCATACTTGTCCTGGTCCAACGTCCTTCAATTTGAGGGACCAGAAGCATCCTGTGATGATGGCGGGAAACAATCAAGCGTGTGTTGCTCCCAGTACTGATTAGAGGCCGTCTTCAAGCCTCTTTCTTCTGTCTAGTCACGTTCCTAATAACCAGTTTCAAAACTTCTAACTTGCTCTGACTTCTTACTGTCATCTGGGCCCCTTTGTAACTGTCGCTCCTCTCCTGCCACTGGTCCCGCTTCTCCTCCTTGACAATTGTTTTTCCCGGAAATTCCCGGGAATAGGAAAACAGTTTTGTCCAGTGACTGGTTTTGGTTTATCAGAATGTTAATTTGTTAACATCTGTTGAAAGATACATGAAGAATTCAAGATTCTTAAGGAAATGTCTTCCGACTTCCAGGAATATTTGTCCTCACTTTCTCGGAAGTTTCTCCAGAAACATCTTCAAACTTTCAACGGATTTTTTGAATTTTTTTTTTTACGTAAGACTACGTCTGTGATTTCTATATGGGAGTACACTTTTTGAAAACCAAAATTAGAAAATGTAACGAAATTATGAAAGATTTTGAACGTTAATAACTTTGCTGCCCCTGGACCATTTTCAATAATTTTATCACCAATCGATCAGAAATATTTCCACGCATCGATAACAAAGCTTCCGACTGGTCATCATCATCTTCCAAAGGCTTTAAGCCTGTACTTCCATTGGCCCTCTTCATGGCCACCAAGATTTTCCAAAAGAGTTAAATTTCTGAACATGACCCAACTAAAATTCATTTCAAAATTTTCTTTTCAGGGCAATCATAGTCATGCTAAAGAGTATAAACAGAGAGAACCCCGCTCAAATTCCTATTCCTACACAAAACACAAACGTAGTCCTATGTCACCATTGCGTACAACCCCAAATGGCTGTCCCTTGTAGTTTTTTCATCAGAAACAGAACCCTAGGAATGATTGATCCGTGATCCGTATTCTCTTTATTATGGTCTGCAAGTCCATTCCAAGCTTTGTGTATCTCTTCAAAACCATTATAAAACCAACATTGTTATTGTTACCCTGGAAAATTCTCCCGAATTCCTCTCTGAAGTCTCCCCCTATGAACTTCACAATTTTCCTGGCATCGTCCAGTATCTGTCTTCAGACATTCTTTTGGAAGATTCATCCAGTTCCTCCTGAAAGTTTCTTCCGACTGTTCTCTGAAACCCCTGAAATGGCTTATGCGGGAAGACCGACATTCTTCAGAAGATTCCCCCGATCTAACCAAAGAGGAATCTTCCACCTTTTCTAGGAAGTTTTTCTGACATCTACAGGAAGTTTCATTCGAGTTCTCCAGGATTTTTTTTCCCGACTTCGTCAGGAAGTTTCTTCACATTTTCCTCGGACGGCTTTTCCAACTAATACTGGAAGTTTCTCTTGAGTTTCTAACAGCTTCTCAGGAAGTTTCAACCAGCTTCTCCCGGAAGTTTCTCTTCACTTCCCAGGAAAGAATCTTTCAACTTCTCCGGTCCAAATTCTTCCTGAAGTATTTCTGGCTTCCCCTGGCAGTCTATTCCAACTATTCCCGGGAGTTTCTCCAAACTTCACTAGGTTATTTTTTCCGGCACCTTCCTCAAAAAAAAACTTCTGTCTTCGACTGGAATTATGTTCTGCCTTCCTTCGGAAGCTTATGTGATTATCCCTGGGTGGTTTTCCGTCTTTTCCCGGAACTTAAGTCCAACTTCTCGTGGAATTTGCTTCCAACATCCGATATCTGACATAAGTTTCGCCACCCCAATGGCCATCTATTGAATCATGTGATAGCGACCTCTGGTGGTGGCAAGTAACATTTTCTTATGCTCTAGTGGATAGTGTCTCCTATTGACTGAGCAATGGGTAATTTTGATGAAGATACGATTCGAAAGGGAATTTATTTTGCCAAGCTACAGTTTGATCAAGTGGGAAGGGTAAAAAACATCTAGATTCACAATGATCTATCTTTTTAAGCATTGTAAACTGAAAAGATGTGACCAGTTTGATCAGTTCTACGGGTTTATCCTTGGATCTACGGATTTTTAGATTCCCTGTGGATCTACGGACTGACCATAAAATTCTACGGATTTTTCAGATTTTTCAGATTTTTAGAGATTTCTTGAAAAGTGCCGAAGAATTTCTACGGATTCTAAAAAAAGCTCACTCCCCGCTCATCACTTTTAAATAATTTCTTTTTTGAATGACTGTTTTTGGAAAATTAACGCGCAGTGGAAACAAATTAACCTATCTACGGTTCGTACTCCATGAAAAGTTAGCAACACTGGATGTTACCCAATCAATTCAGTAATCTAAAAAGGTTTGGATCGAGCCTCTGCTCTTTACTCAAAAACGGTCATCACTAGCCCACCGAGCCCCTGACATCACAACAAACCACTGCAACCGACGATCGTTGTATCCCGGAGACATGAAGCTATTCAGATGAAATTACGTCCCCGAAAGAAGTCAACAATAAGCATACAAAGTTGGGAGGAAATGCTATACTAATATCAACATGAAGCTTCAGTGCGATAATTTATTAGCTAGAGAAATTTCTGAAGAGGATAGATTGTTAGCTCCGCTAGAGTACGGCAGTGAGAAAATTGAACAGAAGTTGAAATTGAGCGAAGAACCATTAATGCGACAATACTAAACAAACGCGCACTCTCCTACCTAACTCATACATTGATGGATGCGGGGATTTGAGATATGTCAGCATACGTCATATTTCACCCATTTCTTTTTTATTCGTTCCGTTCCGTCTGAGTTGTGTTAGTAGTAATTTTTTTTAAAAACTTCAAGAACAAAACATTGGTTAAATATCAATAGATCTCAATATATTCTGCTCAGTAAGCAAAACCGGTCACCCACTGGGCCACTGGGCTCCATACATCACAAAATACTACTACGATTGACGATATCTTCGGTATTTTTTTATTTGAAATCTACGATATGGAAAAGTTTTCTTGACTGGATTTCGAAAGAAAAAATAGCGTAATTTCAAACTATTTTTTTATTCTTGGAGATCCCGAACCTAGGATTCAAAAGCTCGATTTTTTTTCAAAACTCAAACATTTTTTTTCTAAATTTAAGACGCAAATTCAAAATTCTGTAACTTTCCAAGTCGTTTTCCTAACAACAAGTTAATTTTTCCCACGCGACTTCATATCTTCCGAAAATAAATCAACCATTTTCACTCGGCTAAGCCCCGACAACGTTCCAAACGACGACTAGAGACAAATGTTATTACACCATTCCACCACCATCGCTAGGAGGTGGGGAAGGTGAAACTTCCGACTCGCGTGTCGGAGCGAAAGCATTTCCAACTTTTAATGACGACATGCTTCCTGATTATCTTTATTATATTTCAGTTTGCTAAAAGTTTTTCCATGGAAGATTTTTTCTCTGTCTCTCCCTCTCCACCTGTCAGCCATGAACCGGCAGGAACTAGAAGGCGGAATCTGTGAGGCTTGCATTCCCCACCCCCGCCGTTCGGTCTCTATGTGTGTAAGTGGCAGTTTTATGGTTCGTAATTAAGATGAGTTTCCTCTTTACTCGTGCACCCAACTAAAAAAAAAACACTCGCCGAGCTTAAAAGGCAAAACATTTGCGCACACTATAGTGTCACTTTGGTATTCTAGCAGCGATTGCTCACGGTGAAAACGCTGCCAAAGAAAGGATGCATCTCATTATAGCGCTGTATACCACGCGTAATGCATACCTTTCAGGCGTGTAATGACGATTTACATTGCTGATCACCTCCACCGGGTGTGCACGAGGGCTAGTTCGAATGGATACCTAGATAAGCGGATGTGAAGTGGACCGGATCCGGTTACTTTCCGTGGACGAGAAAACTACAACGGCGAGCAAAATCGACCAACGATAGTCGATGGGTAGCAGTCTTGCAGCCATTCAGGGGTAGCAGCGCGAGAGCCCCTGAAGGCTAGACAATTACTGCTGTTCGCTTAGTAATTGCATTACTGCAGCTCTGTTCTCTAATGGCTAACGGGAGTGAAATACTGTCTAATTATAAGGGCCTCTGATTGGTACAGCGGCAAATGGATCCATTAGAAGGGTTCATTAAAGGGCTTTAAATTTGAGTGAGATTTTCCATTCGACGCTGATTGTGACACGATTTTCTTACTGCAATCCTTTTCGTCCGATCCATCGGGACAGTCCGGTTCCCGATCGCACTGCCACCCCGACGGAATGCATCGATCACCACTTTTGCACATAATCTCGTTGGCAGGACAGGTTTTATTCACTATACAGTTCATCGTTATTAACAGCAAACGTACACACATACACACATGTGCAAAGCATAGAAAGTGAAACGAGAAAGCAATCAAAGTGTTATTAGAAGGTTGTATCTACACCAGCAAGAAGCCAAGCGCCTGGAAGTATACTTGGAAACAGCTGTACTTACGACACTTTTCCGAATCCTCGTCGGACCCGTCCGGGCAGTCGTTCTCGCCATCGCACTGCCAGTGCTTCGGGATGCATCGACCACTTTTGCAGCGAAATTTATCGTCCGAACAGTTGGTTTCTGCGGAAGAAAGGGGATAGACAAAGCGAAAACATTCGTTAGTAAATTGACGCTCGAATTGGTGACAGTAATGCATCTCGACATGTATGTAGGTATGCAATGCACGACCACTCCAGCTGGTGCACGCGATTGCTGTAAAACTGGACACCTGAACTCCAATTCGGTAACCGCAAACATGTTGCAGTTGGGGCGGTTTTTATCGATTGCGGATTTGTCATGTCGTTTTTTGATAAATTTATTTACCATTCAGATCGGACATGATGATTCAGAGACTACTATGGAAAGAGTTTCAGGGAACGGAATGGAAATCGGAATGGAAATTGGAATGGAAATCGGAATGGAAAACGGAATGGAAAACGGAATGAAAATCAGAATGGATAACAGAATGGAAATCGGAATGAAAATCGGAATGGAAATCGGAATTCAAAATTTGAAAATTCTTGGAATTTTGAAACTTTTGAGATTGGAATTTGGTACATTTGACTTTTGGAATTTCGAATTTGGAGGGTTTTAAATAAAAAAAATGTAACATAAAACTTAATGATTTGACATTTGGAGAATATTGTATTTGGATGTTTGAATTTGGAACGCTTTGATGTAGACATTTGGAATTTGAAGAAATTTTAATTTGGAATTTGGAGAATTGATAATAGTGGAGTAATATGGAGAATTAAGCATAATGGAATAATTTGAAGAATTTAAAATTGTGAGTGTATTGAATTTGAGCAGTAGCATCCCGTAACCTCACTTTTTACCTGTGCACCAACTTTCAAACCCAGATTTAATGCCATATTCATACTCGAATCGGTTGAAAATCTTTAATAATCTTCTAGTTTACTCGATATCTATCCATTGCAAGCAATATTTTGATAATTGTTTATGTTTTGAGAGTTGGTGCACAGGTAGATTGAGGTTAAGGAAACACCACTGAATTCGGGGTTTAAATTTTGTTAAATTCACAATTTGGAATTAAAAATTTTGAGTTTAGAAAACATGGATGATTTGGAATTTGGAGAATTTGAAATTCGGTCCATTGAATTTAAGAACTAAGAATTTGGTGGGTTTTAAATTTGTAGTTTGGAATTTAAAGATTTATTTTTTGGAGAATATTGTATTTGTAGAGCTTTGATTTAGACATTTGGAATTTGAAAAAAAAATAATTTTTAATTTTTAAGTTGGGCAGATAATAATAGTGGAATAGTATGGATAATTTAAAATAATGGAATAAATTGAAGAATTTATAATTGTGATCTTATTTAATCTGGGGCTTAAAATTTGAAAAATTAACATTTTGGAATTTTGAGCATTTAGAATTTTGAGTTTTGAATATATGGATAACTTGGAATTTGGAGGTTTTGAAGAATTTGGAATTTGAAGCTATCGAAATTAAGAAAATTTAGAATTTATGGAAAATCGGAATGGTAAAAACCGAATTTTTAAAACGGAATGGAATATTGGGATAAAAAATCGGAATGGATAATCGGAAAGGAAAAAAATGGAATGGAAATGGAATGAAATCAAAGAGAAATTGCAATTTTGGAATTTGGTCTGAGTTTGAAAAAAAAAAGACTTTCATTAATTTAAAGTTTGCAATCCGAATGAAGAGAATTTTGAGTTCGGAGGGTTTCAAATTAGGAATTCAAAATTTGAAGAAAAAAAAAACTTTGAATTTGGAAGTTGGAGGATTTGAAAACTGGCTGGCGGAATTTAAAGGGTTTATATTTGGAGTTAGGTTCTTCTTCTTCTTCTGCATATCTTGCATATCGCATATTAACTTATTGCGTGCTGTAAACTTAATGTTCTAGATGGACTTCCACAGTTATTAATTGAGAGCTTTCGATGCCTGTACCATTTTTGCATTGGTATAATTGTGTGGCAAGTCCAATCATGCTTCTATTTCCAGGAAAGTCGGGAAATTTTCCAACCCGAAAAATTAATTAATTAATTAATTTATATTTATTAGGGAGGCTTTCAGCCTGGGACTGGTTCGCCTCCATACCCGAAAAATTCCTAGACCGGACCGGGAATTGAACCCAGCCACCTCCAGCATGGTCTTGCTTTGTAGCTGCACCTTTACCGACTGAGCTAAGGGAGGCCCCATAGGTATATTTGGTGAATTTTGTACAAGCATTTTGGAATTTGGAGCGCTTTGAATTAAAAATTTGGAATTTGTAGAATTTAAAGATTTTGAATTTTGATATTGAAGAATTTCGAATAATGGAATAATTGGGATGGATACGTATTGGGATTGTATTAGAATTTAAAATTTGAAATATTTGGAGCATTGAGAATTTGGAGAATATTGAATTTTGAGAATTTGGGATTTGACGAATTTTTAATTTGAGGTATTTGGCGTTTGAAGAATTTGGAATTTGGAAGATTTGGTATTTGTAGAATTCGGAATTTGGAAAATTTGAAAATTGGAGAATTTGGAATTTAGAGGGTATGGAATTTAAATTATTTGTTATTTGGAGCATTTGGAATTTAAAGAATTTAGATGTTTGAATTTAGAATTTGGAGAAATTTAGACTAGCGGAATAGTGTAGGGAATTAAGAATAATGGAATAATTGGAAGGGTTACGAATTCGGAGTGTATTGAATTTAGAATTTAGAATTTAAAATTTGAAATTGGAGGATTTTGAATTTAGAGGAATTGGAATTTGACAAATTTCGAATTTAAAGTATTTGGCATTTGGAGAATTTGGGATTTGGAGAATTTGGGATTTGGAAAATTTGGAATTTGGAGAATTTGGAATTTAAAAATATAGGAATTTGGAATTTGGAGCATTTGTAATTTAGAGTATTTTGAATTTGAAGAATTTTAAATTTGGAGAATTTGAAATTTGGAGGAATTGTAATTTGTAGTATTAGGAATTCGGAGAATATGGAATTTGGAGGATTTGGAAATTAAAGAATTTGGAATTTGGAGACTATGAAATTTGAAGGATTTGTTATTTGGAGCATTTGAAATTTGGAGAATTTGGAATTTGGAGAATTTAGGATTTGGTGAATTTTATATAAGTATTTTGTAATTTAGAGAACTTTGAATTTGGAATTTGAAGAGTTTAGAATTTAGAATTTAGAATTTAAAATTTGGAGAATTTAGAAGAATGAAATAGTGTGTAGAATTTAGAATAATGGAATTATTTGGAGGGCTACTAATTGGGAGTGTATTGAATTAATAATTTAAAATTTGAAATATTTGGAGTATTGAGAATTAAAAATAAGGAATTTGGAATTAGGACTTTTGAATTTTGGAGAATTTGGAATTTGGAATTAAGAGAATATGGAATTTCGAGAGTTGGGCATTTGAAAAATTTTGGATTTGAAGAATTAAGCATTTGGAAAAATTGGCATTTGCAGAATTTGGAATGCGGAGAATTTTTAATTTGGAGAATTTGGAATTTGAAGAATATGGATTTTGAAGAATTTGGATTTTGAAGAATTTGGATTTAAGAGCATTTGCAATTTTTAATATTTGAAATTTGGAGAATTTGGAATTTGGGGAATTTGGAATTTGGAAAATATGGTATTTGGAGAACTTGGAAATTGGAAACTCTCCAAATTTTGGAATTTGGAGAGTATGGAAACTCTCCAAATTTTGGAATTTGGAGAGTATGGAATTTGAAGGATTTGTAATTTGGAGCATTTAAAATTTAGAGAATTTGGAAATTTGTGAATTTGGAATTTTGAGAATTTGGAATTTGGTGAATTTTCTAGAAGCATTTTGGAATTTGGAGAGCTTTGAATTTGGAAATTGAAGAATTTAGAATTAAGAATTTAGAATTTAGAATTTAGATTTAAGAATTTAGAATTAAGAATTAAGAATTTAGAATTTAAAAATAAGAATAAAGAATTTAGAATTTTAAATTTTTAGATTTGGAGCGTATTGAATTTATAATTTAAAATTTGAAATATTTGGAAGGGTTACGAATTGGGAGTGCATTGAATAAAGAATTAAAAAATTGAAATTGGAGAATTTGGAATTTGACAAATTTTGATTTTGAAGTATTTGGCATTTGGAGAATTTGGGATTTGGAGAATTGGACATTTGAAGAATTTTTAATTTGGTGAATTTTGAATTTAAAGATTAAAGAATTTGTAGAATTTGGAATTTGGAGCATTTGTAATTTAGAGTATTTTGAATTTGGAGAATTTGGAAGTTGGAGGACTTGGAATTTGTAGAATTTGGAATTTGGAGAATTTGGCATTTGGAAAATTTTAAAATTAAATAATATGGAATTTTGAGACTATGGAATTTGAAGGATTTGTTATTTGGAGCATTTGAAATTTGGAGAATTTAAAATTTGAAGAATTTGGAATTTGGAGAATTTTGTATAAGTTTTTTGGAATTTAGAGAGCTTTGAATTTGGAATTTGAAGAATTTAGAATTTAGAATTAAGAATTAAGAATTTAGAATTTTAAATTTGGAGAATTTAGAATAATAGAATAGTATGGAGAATTTAGAATAATGGAATAATTTGGAGGGCTACTAATTGGGAGTGTATTGAATAAATAATTTAAAATTTGAAATATTTGAAGCATTGAGAATTAAAAATGTGGAATTTGGAATTAGGTCTTTTGAATTATGGAGAATTTGGAATTAAGAGAATAAGGAATCTCGAGAGTTTGGTATTTGGAAAATTTTTGATTGAAGAATTAAACATTTGGAAAAATTGGCATTTGGAGAATTCGGAATGTGGAGAATTTTTAATTTGGAGTATTTGGAAATTGGAGAATATGGAATTTAAAGCATGTGGAATTTGTTGTCTATTAATTTATTTGATAAGGCTCAACCGAATTAACTTTACAGAGCCGAGGATTCTTGGTCACTATACATTACATCTTAAAACTATAGTCAAAAGGTACAACACAATAAACACTTTATCTTCCGCTATCCAAAAAGTCTCCTCCATCAGAACTGGAGCGGCTTCCAGTGGTTTCATTGTATGGCAGTTACGCCAACGAGGGTCAGAGCGCTTCCATTGCAGCAATGGACG